TGTATCCTTTTCGTGGAGGTGATAACCAAATGAGATGGGGAGATTTTGTGCACTGTTGTACCTCGAGATGCGTAAAGATAGCGAGTGGCTTCTTTGGGGATAAATGCAAACAGCTATTTATTGAAGGAGACACGCATTATTGTCGCTAGCGTTTTGGCCGAGGCCGAGCTTTAAAAGCACTTAAAGGGATCTTGGCTTCATCCTTCATCTCAGCAAAAAGATGTTTTGACACCAAAGTCAAGTCTTGGATAGATAAACCAACATATCACGAAAAATTCTAAACCTTACCCTAAAGAAAAGGAGCGTCTAACGAGGCTGAAGAAATCGAAACCAAACCCACCTACCCAAAGAAAAAAAATCAAGAAACCCCACTTCCACCGTTTACTTTCCCTCTCTTTCAAACCAATTTAGTCCTTTGATTTCTTGGTTCGGAGAGAGATTTTGGTTTTATGTTATGCTGACATTTTGTTATGCCTCACCAAATGTCAGCATAAGCAGCTCCTCATCATGAGGGATTGGTGGGAGACTTGCTTGTTTTGACTCTTGATCGATTGTCCACTTAAAACTGCTTGGAGGGAAAGATGGGGTTGATGGTGGAAGGCTTGCTTGTCTTTGCCGTTCAAATGGCATGTTTGTACTAGAGGAGCAAGTCTTTTTCCAACAAGAAAACCCAGAGAGAGAGAGAACTGGTTTTGATCTTGTTCTCATTTGGTCAAGTGCCTTAGCCTTCACGCGGTAGAGATATCAATGTAATACTTCCAAGTTTCATTTCGGTCAGCATCCACCGACGACAGTATACAAAAAGAAACAAATCTTATGATAGTGAATAAGCGTATGATTGCTCGAAATCCCTGAGAGATTCTCCCTTCGCATAGATGGAATGAACGATGAAGAGGACTGCAAAGTAACTTCTCGACAGTGATTGATACCCGTTGTTTCCAATGTCCGTCTGCATCAATGTTAAGCGATCGCTGTTTCGTGTCAATCGACGGATCATTTGAATTTCAGATTCACCTAAAAGTTTTGCCAATTTACATAGAAATGTTAAGAGAAAAAAGAGGAAGAACAAAACTAGAACAACGTTACCAAAGCAGTAACCCACAAGTGGGTGGGTTTGGCCCAATTCTCTTATACAAATGGGCAGTCGGATCCTTTCATTGGAGCCGAAACCTCTGCCGGGGCGGGCTTGGATCCATCCATCCAGGCCAGTCCACCATTTTTACATCAACTATTGAAGAACAAAATCTATAAGCCTCTCTTACAAATAAGAACTTTGTTCATTTATTTTATATTAAAAACGTTTTATTTTTTGATATTCATATTCTCATTTGTCTTTTTATTTTTTCAATTTAACTTTTCTAAGAGATAAGAACGATCGGCGAAAGTATTCTCATTATCTTAATTGTTCTTATCGTTTTGAAAAATAAGTAATGAAAAATGTGTTCATTGTTAACAATAATTTAATCCTCAAATGTTTTTGTTAATAATGAAAAAAATTCTATTAATTCATTTTCCTAAGCGTTATGAATGATGAGAAAATATTTTTGCCAAAAAAAGGAAACAAACATTCTATACATACAAATCAAGCTTTGAAAGAAAGGATTTTTCTGGGGGAAAATTGTCTAAAAAGTCTTAAACCTATTGTATTTTTTCCAATTGAGTAATAAATCTTTCAATTTTGTCAATTGAGTCCTAAACATTTTTACTTCTTGTCAATTCTGTCTTGCCAATTCTGACCGGAAATTGCTGATGTGGACGCCGACTATCCTATGTGGTATTAACGTGGATAATTTATATTATTTTTTTATTTCCATTTTTTTCATTTTTCCTTTTCTTTCCTTTCTTTTTTTTCCTCCCCTTCTTCCTCCTCTAGCTGGTGGCCGGGCCTCGGCAACTGGCCAGAGGGGAGGGCTGGCAAGGTTGGCAAGCCTTGCTCCCGTTAGGGGTGAGGCTCGATTAAGGCCGACGAGGTCGGCAAGGTTGACCTCGTTGGCCCTCGCCTTTGGCCGGTTGCCAAGGCCTAGCGATTGGCTGGAGGAAGAAGGGGAGGACAAAAAAATAAAAAAAGGAAAAATAATACAAAATAAAATAAAAATTCAAAAAATATTAAAATATTATTAAAAATTATCCATGTCAGTGCCACGTAGGCCGGCCGGCGTCCACGTCAGTGATTTCCAGCTAAAATTAGCCGAATGGACTCAATTAGCAAGAAGTGAAATGGTTTGGGACTCAATTGGCAAGAATCGAAATGGTTTAGGATTCAATTGCAAGAAGTAAAAAGGTTTATGACTCAATTGGCAAAAAATTGAAAGGATTAGGACTGAATTGACAAAAATACAATAGGTTTAGAACTTTTTGGACAATTTTCCCTTTTTTCTGGTGTTGAGAGAGTGGGGTTCTAAAAGAGCTTCGTTGAGGAAGAAAAAGTCTTCACATTTCTCCTATTCTAAATAATTATTTCAACTTTTAAGAGGGATCATCATCGATCCAAAATAAAAACCGAAGAATTTGTTAATGCCGACCATCACCAAAAAGAAGAATCAAACTCAAAAGTGGTGTTCCATCGATTACCTAAGTTCATGACCTGATTATGATTTTTTTTTTTTGTTAAGAGCACGAGACATCGAGCTCGATTCTAGCTTGGTACAACTTCTTAGAGTCGAGTCAAGTTGACTCGAGACGATTCACGAATTTATTGGATTCCTTTTCTTTTTTTTTTGGGGTGTCAAGCTATTTGCATAGAATATAAGTCCGCATCTTTCTCTAAGACCCCGGGGGCATATAATACAATGCCATTTCTTAACCGTTTAAGGCGCATAATTGCCACTTATGTTTAAGTATCAAACCAAAAAGTAACGTGGAACACCCCCCCTTTGCATAAACCCCACAATCATGCTCGAGTCAATAATGTATTTAAAACATGATCCCCCGTTAGAACCCACATACTAAAACTATTATTTAATTTGCGCGGCCTCTAAAATGTACCTAATTAAAATTCAAAGTATAATTGACTATGCATGGGACCATATGTTAAATTCTCTAGGAGATATATTCCTCTCCCCCCCTACGTTGTTTATATTCAGAAGGGACGGCTCCAAATTAATATCGGCCCCGACCTTCTTTTGATTCTGATGCAGCCCACGAATTTCAGTTCAGTGCATTCGTCGCAAAACTCCAACCCCCTCGTTAATTTAAATTTGTTTTAGATCTAATCCCCCTAGCTGTATGGCTAAAATAGAGGCGTAAGTGCATCATTATTGGAGACATCTATTTTAAAATGAATAGTCATGTTATGACCACGGAGACCCACCTTTGATGATCTCGGTTTGGCTGTGGAAAATACTCAAATAATCTCACACGTTACATAAAATAATCGACGCGACACGAACTACAATGGTAAATCGCATTCTTGGTAATTTGCCACGTTTCTTTGGACCTTTTTAACTCGAGTTCATTCTCGCAACATGCTACATTAATGTCAGTCGCCATTGATTTTTGTGGAGGCGAGAAAAGTCCGATGCCTCACAATACAAAAACTAAAGATAGAGCCCGGAGTTTAGGCTTTGTTATCTCCAGAAAATCCATTTTATACCATATATTATCAATCAACCCTAAATAACCTTGATTTAACTTAAAGCTGTCAAGCTAATAAGCAATTGGCCACACACTCAAAGTACACTATGTATATTATTTACTACTCGGTGTAACTCCCAATTATTTGATGTCGGACTTTGTGTCCTAGCACTTGTTTCATGATAACTTCATCGTTTAATAAATTATCATTAGTTTGGTAAAGTGATCAGAAGTCATAAGATATATATAAAAGACATTGTGCAATCAAACTCCTGCTCCCGAGCAAGCTCTTTGCTAAGTCAATCCGAGCTTCCTTCATGGAGACATTACCTAACACATTAGGCTAGCAACCAACTTGCCATTCCAACAAGATTAAGTCTTTTTCCATATCCATGACGATACGAATTTAACTAGACTCGGTATAAAACGCGATGTAAAACGTAAAATTTACCTGGGCCGAAGACGTTCTTTAAGTAATCGGTTTCCGTTTACTCTCTTGAGATCCCAACGCGTTCGTGATCTCAGGGGCGCAAATTGAGACGATTCAAAAATCTCGAACGCACTATCATAAAGATTCAGTAAAATTTTCTGAGCGTAGCCACATAGATTAATGAAGGACCACTCTAAATATACGCCCTTTTTCCCATAAAAGGCCCTTAGGTTCTAAGCCAATCATATTTAATGCACGAGGGGTTTCGAATGAACTTCATAATATCGAGTGGCCACAATCGAACGATTTGCATTTTATCTTGTCCACGTTACGTTCGTTTGTCTATAGCACACCTGATGCATCCAAAGATCAAAACCGGCTGAAGGAGAAGTTGTACAGCCCACTCCTTCTTGAAAACGACTAATCACCCATAAGGTTGGCAGTGTGGACATGCAGACTCTATTTTGCAAAGGGAAATAGAGGAATCCTCCATAGAAACAAATGCATAAACTCCAAATTCGAGATGACCAATGGGAATTAGAAATTGGCATTCAACGTGTCATGTGCTTTTTCTCCTGCCAGTTTGTCTATAGCAGTGGCTCGTATTGACAAAGGACACCTAAATTGGTAAGGACTCCTTTTCTAAACGGTGCAAAGTGCAAACCCGTGGGGCAGCTCCCTCTTTTGATGCTGTTCCTTTGGGCCCCCGAGAAATGGTACTAACCGAAGCTCTTGTTATTCCTTCATGGTATTAAAACAAGAGGTCCTGATCCGAATCTTTCTAGGCTCTCGTATACCTGTCCATTTTGCATACCCGGTTTCCATGTCGTAATCTTAAGCCGAGCCAAATTTCAACATACACATGTGAAACAACACCGTTTATAGATATTTAAACATTAAATCATACCTTCGTATAACGATTCGTGTATCATAATTAGTTATGTCCGTACGAGAGTCATTGTCCCGGAGCACTATAAATAGGGAGCCCAAGTTGGGACGGATTCTTGCGCAGATTGAGCTCGGAAGCAAAAGAACAAAGAGGTAAGTCTCTCTTCGCATCTCAATCCCTCTCTCACACGCACATAAAAGGACACAAGAAGCCACTATTAACGTTGTTGTTCTCTTTGTCGATCACATGGTCATACACCATAACTTCTGCTTCTGCACTAAGCCAAAAAGAAGCAAGACATCTTTGCCTGTCTAAAAGACACCAAGTTCAACCCCCCATCTCTTCTTTCATATCAAGAATTTTCCATTTCAACCCCTTTTTTTCTTGATTTCTTCTTCACCTCCTCTCTCTATTTTCATCAGAAAATAAGCAGTCGCAGATTGGGAAATACTTTTCTTCTCCACTGGTCGCCGCGTCTGGTTATAAAGGTCAGTTTGTGGTCCTATACATTCATAGCAAATTCGACTTTTGTTCCTTTTCTTCCTTTGTTGGAAATGTCCATAAAAGAAAACTGAAGTTTCGTTGATGTTGGGTTTTGTCATCGTTTTGCAGGTTCCGGACAATATGACATCCATGTCAACAGTGGCCTGCAAGCAAGCCCAGGTCCAGCCGCTCATGAACTTTCGAGGTGGACTCAACATGGAGAGTATCTACCACCGTAGAGACAAGGTCGTGTTCGTCGTCGGGGCAACCGGGACGGGCAAATCCCGGCTTGCCATCGACCTGGCAGTCCGGTTCAGAGGCGAGGTCGTGAACTCAGACAAAATCCAAGTTCACAAAGGCCTCGACACCATCACCAACAAGGTCACCGAGGAGGAGTGTCGGGGCGTAACCCACCACTTGCTAGGGATTGCAGCCCCAGACTCGGAGTTCACGGCCGTCGATTTTCGGCGCTGTGCATTGCTCGCCATCGAGTCCATCCTCGCACGGGGCCGGCTCCCCATAATCGCCGGCGGCTCAAACTCTTTCATCGACGCCCTCGTGAACGGTGGCCCCGAAGTCCGGTCGAGGTATGACTGCTGCTTCTTCTGGGTTGATGTCTCGATGCCGGTGCTCCACTCGTTCGTGTCAAGGCGGGTCGACAGGATGGTGGAATCCGGGCTGGTGGAAGAGGTGAGGAGCGTGTACCATCCGGGTGCGGACAACTCCAAGGGCATCAAGCGTGCGATCGGAGTGAGTGAAATGGAACAGTACTTAAGTTCCGAAAGCACGGCCGACGACAGGACCAGAGCGAAGCTTTTAGAGGAAGCGGTCGAGAGTATCAAAGTAAACACATGCGCATTGGCTCGTCGCCAATTGGAAAAGATACAGAGCCTGAGCAGCAATTGGGCTGGGGACATGAACCGTATTGATGCCACGGAAGTGTTCCTAAAAGAGGGCAAAGAAACTGATGAAGCTTGGGCTAGGCTTGTGGCAGGGCCATGCACTATACTCCTGTACAAGTTCCTTTATGGTCAAGATCCTATGGCTGCTATGCTCTCAACTGATACGTCTCATGATGTGACAATTGGTAAGCTGGTTTCGGTTTCCATTCCAATGATAGTCGTCGCAGCGACCACCACGAGAGTATGACACGGCACGACAAGCCAACATAAATTAAATGAACATATTCTCTTTGGAACTTGTGGGTCGTGAGTTGATTTATTTTGTAATGGCAGATGTGTCGATGATAAAGGAGTCAAATGTCATGTAAGGGTTGCTCCCTCGCCTTCCTGTTGAGTAGCAATATTTGAAGGGAAAGAATTCCGTGTAGTTTCACGATCCAATTCTTGCGATAAGATTTTTATTCATTAAGAGAGAATGTCAATTGATGCGACGGACATGCATTGATTATATATAAACTCGCCTCACGTGACCAACACCGATAGAAGCATGAAGATTCATGTTGTGGATATCGGAGAATTCACTTGTTGTGTCTTTAGGCCTCTCGAACTCGTTTCGAAGATAATCAAGAAGTTTGTCATTTCTCTAGTTTTGCATAAGTTTATGGTATGCAAACAATATACCTCTATCTAAAATAGTGGAGTTTAATACAAGGTAAAGATATTGCTATGGAGTTCAAGTCCAAAATCCTCTGAAACGCCACCATCACCATAACTTAGGAACAAATCTCTCATGTATTGCGTTTCTATAATTACTAATTTAATCAACTTTTTATTTATAGAAACTAAAAACTATCTGATAAGCATTTAAAGGAAAGAATCAAGTTTAGTCAATTGCCTTGGTTGCCAGAATTTGGAGAAAAGGACATTAATATGACACTCACTTTGGTCCTAGAATTTTTTAATCCATCACTTAAGTGATATAATTTAAAAAAAAAACATTCATTTGAGGTACTCTGGTAACATATCTCTACGATAAATACTGCGTGGATTTATTCTAAGAATAACATATCCAACGTAATTTTTTCTTTTAAAAAGAGTTAAGTCCAAAATGGGGGAAAATTACCAAAAAAAGTCATAAACCTATTGCCCTTGTGCCAATTTAGTCATAAACCTTTCAATTGTGTCAATTGCGTCTTAAGCATTTTTTACGTTTTGCCAATTGAGTTCTAAACATTTTTATGTTTTGCAATTGAGTCTATTCGATCAATTTTGGCCGAAAATTGTTGATATGGATGTCAGCTATACTACACAGTATGACCGGCGCTGACGTAGATAATTTTACAATTTTTTTAAAAACTCAATTTTTTTTTAATATTTTAGTTTTTCTTTTTCTTTTTTCTTCTTCCTCTGCAACCAGCTAGAGGCGAGGGCCGACGAGGCTCCACCTCACCAGATCTCGGTGAGCTTGAGCCTCGCCAGCTCGACCAAGTCTAGCCGAGTAGGTCGGCCCACGTCAGATCTAGCAAGGGCAACCCTCGCCTTTGACCAGTCACCGACCATGGTGACCAGCGGAGGAAGTAGGAAAAAAAAAGAAAGAAAATAATAAAAAATAACACAATTGCAAAAATTATTTACGTTAGCGTCGGCCGTGCCACGTAGGACACCCGGAGTCCACTTTAGCAATTTCCGGCTAAAATTGGTTGGATAGACTTAATTGACAAAACGTGAAAAGATTTAGGACTCAATTGATATAATAAAAAAGGTTTAGGACTGAATTGATTAGGTTTAAGACTTTTTTTAGTAATTTTTCATTCAAAATGGAGTTAAGCCTAGGGAGCATGGCCCAAAATGACAATTTCTTTTAATTTCTTTACCTTCAACCAACACACGTTAAGAGAGATCGCCACCATCCTCAATCACAATGACTAGGAGCTCCTTCCTTGTTTCTTTGACCTTCCCTAGGAGCTCAATCCCTATGCGGTGCAACTAGCGCTTCACCAGAACTAGGTAGGCCGTAGGCGGCCCCAAACGCCTCCTCAGCTTCTTCCGCTGGTCCATTCCTTTATGGGTGTGCCCTAAGACTTGCATTCCTTCGCGATTCTCGCCGTCACTCTGTGAAATTCTATGCTTTTTCCTCTGACCCATGGCATTGCTGACCAGAAGATCGATAATGCTTCCGGTGTCCCGGTAATTCCCCAATAGCAATAATATTTTACCTTCATGTTGGGGAAGAGCCAAACTTTGTTGAGTCGATCATCAGCTACTTCTCGCGTTCCTGCTCTCCATTGTAAATTTCAGTTGCGACTTCTCATTGACCTGCAATTTTTTTTTTATTTGCAGATGAATATAGGGTTTTGGGTTTTTGATTCGAATCTAATTTAGCCCCATTCATCAAATTCGGGCAAGGAAAGAGCTAAACAATGTGGTCATATATTTCGACCAAAAAAAAAAAAAACGTGGTCCTATATGCTTTCAATGACATCATTTCCTTGACAAGTCACGTCGGACGATTTTATATTAGACTAGTGACATGTTGGATATTTTGACAAGGGAAATTGCCAACATTACTCAAGTGTCATACGGAAGTTATGGCATTAGTGAACCTTTTCCTTCAAAGTTTGTAGTCACATGTAGATATGAAATTGTATAGGTAATTTGCTAATGTCATAGTTTCATAATCATTTAGATCTAGTGAATGACATCCCTTCATGCGTTTCTTTGTAGGAAATGTTTGACACAATTGCATATCGCTTGTTCATTGCTTTGGGCCTGTGTGGTTCAACTTTGCCTTTAGAAAAATATGAGATATTTGGCAAGTGTTTTTGTGACTCCATTGGCCAAATGCTAGCCTTGGGAAAGATGAAAGCCTAAGGCAGGCGTGGGTTGTTAGCATTTTCGGAATGCTATTGTGAGGGTTTAATGACTTTTTTTTTCTTTTCAATATTTCCCTAACTGATAAATGTATTTTCCACTTCTACCCTAAAAAAATACTATTTATCTTCTTCCTTTTGCTCACTGGTTCATGTTTGAGGTTGAGGTGAAGATCGAGGTTGCCCGTTGAGGTCGAGATCGAAGGTCGCACGTGCCATCGAGCTGCTGTCTTTGTCGGAGCTGTTGTCTTTGCCTGTTTTGCTATGGGTTGAGGTCATGGTCGAGGGTCGAGCAACCCAGATCTGGCCTTTCAACCATGGTCATGTGACCTCGGTGTCGCGCATCCTCGACGACCCTCGCCTGGGTCGCAAACGGTCGAAGGGCCATATCTGGGTTGCCCCGAGGTCGCCGGTGAAGCTTTGCCGAATGAAGCTCCGACGTTGTAGATCCCAATATAAAAAAAAAAAAACCTAGCCGATGCTTGAAGCTCACATGATTGACGGTCGCCTCTGGTCTGAGAAGGATCACCGTTCAAAGCTCGCCTGGCCGATGCTCGCTTGTGGTCACTACCGGCGAAGCTCGCCCAGTCCATGTCTTCTCTGCCAATGCTCGCCCAAGTCTGCCATCTGTTTCTCTTTTTTTTTCTTTCTTTCTTTTTTCATTTCAAAGTTGTTTTACAAAATAACACAAAAATGAGTTATCCAAACAATATTGCTTTCACCAAGTGCACTTTCATCCAAAGATACTTGGGGAAATGGTTTTGCATTCCCCCAAAGTTGAACCAAACATTGCCTTTGTACTCTCTCTCCGCACACACATATATTTTTTATCCTCTAAGTACTAAAAATGGAGTTAAATGCAATTTTAATTCTCTAAGTTCTAGCATTTGTGCAATTTGATACCTTAACTTTTAGGGAAAATTGTTCGAAAAGTTTTCAACCTATTGTACAAAGGCCAATTCACTCCTAAACATTTTGACTGTACCAATTTAGTCATAGACTTTTTGACAAATATGTCAATTTAGTCATAAATATTTCAATTGTGCCAATTTAGTCCTAAACATTTTGGTGATTTGTCAATTTAGTCATAAACCTTATGACAATTTGCCAATTTAGTCATTTCGGCCAATTTTGGTTGAAAATTAGCATGGCCGACACTAAAGTGAACAATTTTTTTACTTTTTTTTTTATTTTACCGAAATATTTAAGTACTTTTTTGAATTTTTTCCTCTTTTTTTTTTGCTTTCTTTTTTTCTTTCCTTCTTCCTTTGGTTGGCGAGGTTTTCCTCGCCCAGCGACGGTGAGGTCGAGTCTTGCCAAGGGCAGGCAAGGCTCATCCTCGTCGGGTTGGCGAGGTCGACTTGCTAGTGACTGGCGAGGCTTGACCCTCACCCCGAGGCGAGGTTGACCTCGCCGGCCATCGCTGAGGCCTAGTGACCGGCTTGATGAAGAAGGAAAGAAAAAAGAAAAGAAAAGAATAAAATAAAAATAATAAAAAATTCATAAATTTTTTTAAAAATGTAAAGAAATTTCCACATCAACGAAATTCATCTAAAATTGGCGAAATGACTAAATTGGCAAATTGTCAAAAGGTTTAGGACTAAATTGACAAATCGTCCAAAGATTTTGGGTTAAATTGGCACAATTAAAAAATTTAGGACTGAATTGGCCGCCGTATAATAAGTTTAGAATTTTTTAGACAATTTTTCCTTAACTTTTATTTTGTTCAATTAAATCCTTTAAATTTATTGATCTCCGCAATTTGATCATCTAAATTTTATTTTATGCAATCAAGTTCTCTAACTTTCATTACATGTCCAATCAAATTCGTCGGTCAACCACTGTCATTTTACAGTAACGTTGTTAAAGTGGCAGAAAATGGTAGTGGATGCTAATATGGTGCCAAATTAGCCACAAAAAAAAAAGATTTAGCAAAAAATAAAAAAAGAAACTCTAATATGACAATATTAGTTACAGCAAGTTAAAGATGCACTTGACATATGGATTGCATATTATTTAAGATCTGGTTTAACTTGGATCTAATAAAGCAAAGCTCAATTAATAATGGGTCTAATGGGTTTGGAAAAAACTCAACTTCAACACATTTAATCAAAGAGCAATGCCCTCCAAGTGCCCATGCTAGGGTCCACAAAGACCGTGCTCAGGTTCCCGGTGGCCATGCCTAGGTACCCGGCTCCCATGCCCAAGTCATTGGCCCTCGGCTCAGGTCCGTCGAGGCTAGGCTCGTTTGCTCGATTGCAGGGTCAGAATCCACAAAGCTGGACCCAGGTCCCTCGACACATGGCCCGAGACCCCGGTACCATTTCGGGTCCACGGAGGCTAGGCAGAGACTTGCCCATGCCTGAGGTCCCAGCAGTCATGCTTGAGTATTTAGCTCTCGCTCTAAACTCATTAGCATTAGGCTCAAGTTTGTTAAGGTCAGAAACAGTTCCTCGACAATTGAGCCTGGATCCATACAGGCGGGGCCTAGGTCCCTCAAGTTGAGGCTAAAACCTCAATGCCCGTGCCTAGGTCCCTTGAGGCCGAGCTCAGTTCTTTGGCGATGGGCCT